GAACTTGAAGATGATGAACTCTTAACATCTTGATCACTTTGGGCCTGGGACCATTTCCACCATCTAATGATGCAATCACTGCAACAATTGGAGAAAAGCAAATAGTAATTTCATAATTTTAGAGTTCCTATTAAACAAGATGAGACCATAAAAAATTCAAAAGAGTAACTCTGTCAAATATACCTTACCAATGAAAGCAATGAAAACAAGACATTAACTTCATAAAGGGTAATGAGCTGCCATCAGCATCTTCATCATCTAGTAATGGATGTAAACATAATGGACAGTCCTCATTAGGGGGGTTCATACTAGAGAGCCTCTCCACTGCTTCCTACAAAGTCATGAAGCTATAAACATCTTGACATGGGTAATTAGTTTTGATTAGGAAAACAAATGATTGCAAATGAAAAATCAAGGCATCACAAAAAGTAAACCAAGAGAATTATCAAAGCCCATTATTGTTACCTCACAAAGTGCCACGAGCATCAAGCAAGACGCTAGTTCTAAAGCTTCCGCACGGATGCGATCTAGAAGATGTTTCTACCTCTGCTCATCAAGACCCTTGGAATCAATAACACTAATTTCTGGTGGCTCTTCAGGGTACTGCAATAAAGAATTAATTATTTGACAATAAGTACAACAATGTTTTGCTCTCCAACATTGACACGTACGGTTTCAGTGATATGGATATTCTAAAGAAAATGCAAATGCCTACACTGAGTTTACTACCTGAGGACCAGCTCGCATTCCGATAGTTGCTTCGACAAACTGCAGAAGAAATCAGTGTCAATGTTAAACTCATCTAGATTTTGTATCTAAAAAAATTTCAATGGCAACTGAAGAAAACGGAACAAAAAAATTTGAAAAGATTAACAAAAACAAATAAGTTGCCAGCAAAAAAAGTATGGCGGCATATAGCCTGTAGTAGATTCAATGAAAAGAAGAACTAGCCGCAACATGCCCAGACAAATAAGTATATGTATCGACAACATAAAATAAATCATATTCAGAAGGAAAAAGATTAACCATTGACACCGGCAATATCCCAAGAATGATAGCAACAATATTTCTGATTTAATTGAAACGAAACAAACCAATTCACTCAATCTTGATTATTACATTACATAAAATCAAGTCACCAAACCGCGAGACAATCTTATTTGTTGAAAAAAAGCCATATATCGCAATACCAAAAAAATCAGAGGCTTCAGTTGCTCATGCTTAACAGTTGCAAGTTACTATCAAGATAAGACTATCACGGGACAAAAGTAATCATGAATAAAAGAAAACCGTTCAAAATTTCAATCACAAAAAATCAAAACGAGGAAATAATCATTGGGTAACATAATCATCAATGTCACCAAATATCAACTGGAAATGCCTTCTTGATTATTCATAATATATTAAGTCATCAAACCATGAGACCATCTTCTTCATCCAAGGCTTCATTCTTGTGAATTTCAGGCTAGAAACAGTCTCAGCCTGTCAAGAACCCACATGCTGATATTCAACAGTAGCAAGTTAATAACAAGACAAGACTATCGCCAGAAAAAATCAATCACAAAAATCGAAAGGAGGATATGATCATAGGGTAAACATAGTCATCAGTGTCCGCAAATCTTGACGAGCAATGCTTTGTAAACCAGAAAACGAAGGTACCTGTTGAGAGGAGACCTCAGCCGTGCGCGGCTTAAGGTGGATATGGATATGTGGAGGGTAAGCTTCGATGACCAGGCAATCGCCACCGTACACCGCCTCGACTGCCTCTAGTTGTTCCCTAATCTCTTCCTCGGCCATCGACGACGGTGGCGAATTCAGCGGCAACGATTACTGCGAACTTGTTCAGCTGGCCGATACTACCTACTTGGCAGATCCCCCAGATGGATTGTTTTACGGGTCGGGTCAAAATACGTGGGGAAAAGCTTTACGTAGGTTCTCTTCGGCGGCCCATAAGACTTCAACTGGGCTGGCCTGGACTCTAGTAAAAGTGTTGGGTCACATGGTAGCATAAAGTATTCTGATTATATACCTCGTATATTCTAATGAAGGTTGTAAACGAGCAGAGCTGAGCTCAAATTTAGGGTGCTCGAGCTCGAATTCGAGCCTAAAATTGAGCTCGAACTTTGTTCGTTAAGGCCTCGAGCTCGAGCCTTGACGATCCAAATCATAAAAAATTATATAAAAGTTCTACGAACCTTATCTAGCCAAGCCGAACTCGGCTCGATAGCCAAACGAGCTTTTAATGAACTCGAGCTCAGCTCGTTAAGACATCAAACTCTAGCCTTAATGGGCTGAGCTCGAGCCGAGTCGAACTAAGCTCGTTTAATTTAATTGCACTTTCCATGGTTGTGTAACGTGTTCTGAGGATAATAAAACTCAAATCACAAGTTTTACTATTAAAGC